TGACGATGATGATGATGATCATCACGTATCATCATCTCCCAAGATTAATATTGTGAGATTGAAATCCGCGTCTCACAGTAAATCATTTATACTAGTGCTTTAGTTATTTTGATACAACTGTAGCCGAGTGCTCCTTGGTAGGTTTTAATCCCAATTGCAATTACTTCTTTAATGTGCATGGTATTAATAGCTATTTGTCTATTAACCCATGGGGGTGATGTTTATTCCCTCTGGTAACATTTTCTCGGTAGTTCTTTGTTATCTGCCTGAGCCGGCACGTCTCCAAGATATTTATAATCCTAAATATCTGCCTCGGTTCTTTAGGCTTTCTTATTACTTAGCCACGATTTATTGGGCCTTGTTCTGTTGTATTTTAGGTTCAGTGTTTGGACTGATCGCACCTAGCTAGGATTTGCTCTTCTTAGGTGTTGGCCTAAGCTAAATAAAAATAAAGAAAATAAAATAAAATTAAAAGAAATATATACAGCTATACTTATCAAATATGTCCCCTGGTAAGATAGTAAAACAATAATAATATAGTGTTGAATATAAAATGAGAGAATATGGTTAATGCACAGAATTAGTATGAATTCATTGTTTCGAAAATATAATATTCGAAGACAACAGGCACCAGGAAATTTTTTAAGGGGATATATATCGATGAAAATCCATTTGAATAATAATAATAATCATCCTCGTCGATTATTTTCGATATAGATAAATGTGGATAAATTATCAAAATTTAATCACATCAAAATTTAGCAACATCGAAATTTAACATCATAGTTTAACAACATCATAATACATCGTTAATAATCACGCTCGTCAATTAAGTTCAATATAGATAAATATGGATAATTTATTGAATTTAACAAAATCGAAATTTAACTAAAATGATTAATATTGAGTAATATTTATTGCATTTACCAAGTTAGAGGGATAATATTGAATATAACATTCATAATAACATATAGCAATTGAATAACCCCCCCCCGTTGTTAATAATTAAATAAATACATTACGAATTTTTGCATAGTTAAGAGGAAAAGCCATTGTGAATTGTTCCATGATCCTCTGATGGTTAGTGTTCTGGCCAACCTTTAATAATTAGTTAAGAACCCTCCGTTTGTTTTTTCTATGTTGCCTGTAGGGACGCCTCAAGTGGTATAGTTGTAAATATTTCTCGTCTATATATTTTTTGTTATTTTATCATCTTAGGCTGTGTGCTGGTGGTACTTAGTATTAGCACTACAGTAGGAATTGCGCAATAGAGTATTTTGAGAAGGCTTCTGAGCTGTGTGCAGAGACGAAGAAGCTATATAATTATTGGATTTTATGCTTTATATTTATATATATATATATATATATATATATTATTAACTGGACACGTCACGAGCTGGTAACTGGAATTTACTCGATCGCATTTTGGCGACGACGACAGGACTATAATTTGAAACGGATCCTCATATCCTTTGCTGAAGAGATTATAGTCACGAACCTGTATATACATATATATTATTGGAATTAAGTTTTCGGCTGAAAAGCTGAAGTTAAGATACATACTATTTTAAAGCGGAAGAAACGGGATACGTGATCAGAAAAACATTACCTGTGAAAACAAGGATAAATACGAAAGGAAGCATTGCCAATGAATGAAAGGAAGAGTAAATACTATTACCACCGAAAGACACTATATGTTATTATCATATACTATATAATTAATGGCTGAAGAAACCTAGAAATAAAATTCTGGAGATAAAAAGCAAACGAAGTAAAACTGTACCTTGAGAATAACTAGTGATGGTAGTAAATGATAAGGGATAAGAGATCAAGAAAGGTTAGGACTAAAAATTATACTGTTTAGAATACAGAAACGTTACGAAGAAAATTATACTTTTAAAATCAACGAAGTGTTCAAGGAAGACTATTACTAAAAAATATACTTTTAGAATCAAAGAAACTCTCAAGGAAGGCTATGACGAAAAATAGATCCTTAGAAACAAAGAAGCGTTAAAGAAAGGTTATGACGAAAAATATATCGAAGAAATTATTTTTAAAAGTTTTAATAACATTCGAAAAGGTTAAAATTCAAAAAGATTAAAATTCAAAAATTCGAAAATTCAAAATTCGACCTTTTATACGGAAGAATTGATCAGGCACCCTGTCACGGAAAAAGTATCCTAGGAGAGAAGACGGAACACGAATAAACATGAAAATTCAATTACCGAAATGTTCCACAAAGTCATTATGATTAGTAAAACAAAATATAAGCAAAGCATAAACGAACCAGAAAACCTGTTCAATTAAAATAGAATGAGTCTTCGGAAAATAGTTCAAAAAAAAAAAAAACGGGCCTGGACCTACGAAAATTTAAAAATAATACATTCGAAAAGTTGAAATAAAGAAAGAAATGGATACCGAAAGGATAGTAGGATCTTTGATGGAAGAACAATTGCAATAATGCAAGAAGAAAGAAACGCCAAAACAAGTGATCATTATAGGATCAAAGTTTTGCAAAACAAAGTCTAGAAAAAATTAAAAAAGAGACCGTTGTAAAGAAAAGAAAAATAAATTACAATTAATTAGGAATGTAAAATGCCGATAAGTAATTAAATAGCAAGAAGTTTAAGCATTAGTAGAACACCATGTTTGAATTAAAAAACGCTATTACTATATAGAAGAAACATAAATGAAATTCGTGTAACACCAAAATTTCTACTTGCGGGAACAAAACAATTTGTTATTAATCTCTATCGTTAATTATCTTAGTGATTTAATTTCGTATATAATCTTTATCGTTAATTACCTTGGTGATTAATTTCATTATCTTGGTAATTAATTTCGATGATGCCAAATATCGTAAGTAATTATCGAAAATTATCTTATTTCGTTAATTTTCGGTTTTTTTATCGATAAATATTGATAAATGATGTATCTCAATATTTATACCCTAAAAAAATTTCCTGATGAGGTCAAGGTCAAGGCCAAGGTTAGTGTTATTTATTAAACGGCAATTATTATGATTAATTAATTAATTGATTAAAAATGATCTTAAGATGATACATGAAGTTAAGAAAATTACAATGTTATTTATACATGTTAAAGGTTCTATCATCTAGTTCTCCGATTTCTTTGAAATCCTAAATTATCCTAATTAAATGTATTACTTGAACCTTCTGTGTAGAATTACTTTCAAGTTATTTCTAAAATGATCCAATTATTTAAATTCTTTCGTTTAAATTAAATCTAAGGATTAAAGGTCTGTCACATATCAGAACAGGGTTTGCAATTTCGCTATACAAGATGAATTTTCATACCATTGAGTTTGTATAGTTTCGTTGTGGTCATACACCTGTACGAGTAAATTTTACATATTTACATATTGTACATATGAATGTACGATGTATCAGGAGTGATTTTCTGCGGTGACAAAATATTACTTTGTAAAATCCTATAATTATTAATCCTATTACTATAATTAATGGATTACCAGATGTTGTAACTGGGGTCGTAATACTACTTATTATCAGAAAAAACTGATTATCATATTATACTTATATCATCCTATATGCATTATTATTATTATTACCATGATTCCTAAAAAATTTTTTCTTATTTATAATGAAATAATAAAAAAATTATCTCTACATTCTTGTTAATTATACAAAACTTTTTGGAAAATTTTCATGCATTTCAAACGTTAATAACATTCTGAAAATTAAAAACTATTCGTATCATATTTTGAACACATGAACAATATGTACTAAACTAAATTAATACATGATTAGATCATTTGTTTTGATTTGATTTTGTTGTAAAATTGTTAACGTAATGTCATCTTCTGATAAAGATACTCAAAGAAAAAGTATATTACAATTGTGGTAGAATGGAATAACTTCTGCAAAAGAAATACATTCCAGAACTGGCATTACAATGTCTACTGTCTATTATAACCTTAAAAAATTGAATGAAAAAGGTGTTAATTCGAGAAAATCTGGAGGTGGTTGTCCCAAAAAAATTACTGTGCATGAATCAAGAGCGATCGGCCAATACTTGCACCATGATCCAAGACTTTCCACAAGAACTTTGTCAAACAAATTATCAAACAATATCACCAAAGTGTCTCATATGACTATTTCAAGACATTTGGCAAGTTTAGGCTACAAAAATAATTTGCCTTTAAAGACACCTATGCTTACTGTTGCCCATAAAGAAGCTCGTGTTGGTTGGGCAACAAGACATCTTGATGACAACTGGGAGACCACTTTATTTTCTGACGAAACTGCCTTTCAGTTGTTCAGAAACACAATAACTCAATGGTACAGAGGCGAAAGGCCAGTATGAAGAATCCCCAAAGATTGCACTAAAATCTTTGCATGGGGAGGTTTTTGTATGCAAGGAAAAAGCTCTCTTTTTTGCTTCAGGGGAATCATGAATGCAAATTTTTATGTTGATATTTTGCAAAGGCATAAACAGGAAATTAATAGATTACTTGGAAGCAATTGGCGCTCCCAACATGATAATGATCCAAAGCACACAAGCAGGGTTTGTCAGACATTCCTCAATGAAAATTTTCCCGAAGTTATGGACTGGCCTTCCAATAGTCCAGACTTAAATCCAAACAAAAACCTTTGGGCTATTGTCAAAAGAAATCTAGAAATGCATATGCCTCAAAATCCTTCAGAATTAGAACAGTACATGACAGAAGAATGGGATAAAATCCCAAATAATATTCTAATCAACCTTGTCAGCTCAATGAGAAGGAGATGTGAGATGATAATTGAGAACAATGGTGAGAGAATAAACTATTAACTTTATATCAATAAAAACTTCAGATTTTAAGCTTTATTTTGACATATTTTTCATTCATTTTTATGTGGTAACTTTTGAGCTATGGACAAATAAAAAATTCCAAAAAGTTTTGTTACACACTGTACATTGATTATTCTTTAGCCACTCTGATGTAAATCTATTTTATATTTTCACTATTATTAATAATACTATTGCTATTGCTAATCCTTCATCTTCTATATCGTCATCTTTATATTATTCCATTCTTTATTAATTCCTTGTAAGGTTTTTAAATAGAATGCAATAATTATCCATCACATAATCCACATATTTCAGTTTTCATTTCACCAAATGAAAAATTTGGATTAAACTCAGTCTTTGTTAAACAATTGTTTGAAATCTTTTAAATTTCCCTTGGGTATTTTTGATCACCAGTTGGCTAGATTTATGTTTTTTTCTAGATCAATCTTTTGGTTGATATTATAGAGCTGATTTAATAGGTTTGATAATATAATGAAAGCCAATCAATCAACAATCACAAAAAAAAACTCACTTGCATTTTTATTAAGTATTTGTAGTTTATTTTTTATATTGATAATAATTGATAAAGATTTGGTTTTTTATATATATTGATTTTGATTTTGGGTTTTGTTTTACAATTGTAAAATACTAACAAGAATTATGGCTATGATTTTTTTAATATTATTAATAAAGGAAGAATCCAAGACAAGGAAGGGAACTAGGCATTCATTAACAAACATATTTAATTTTATCAAAAGTATTATTTGGTATGGTTGGTTCTGGAGATATGTTGTTTGTTAATAACCAGAGATTCTCTTTTTGCATTGATACCTTATTTTTTTTTATTGACCAATAGCCCAAATACTGCATTGAAAGTCAAAACATAGAATGGAATTTGTCATGTTGTCCCCTTATATGGTGATAGGTATAAATTTTTTTAAACAATTGATCACTCTTCCCTTTTTTCATCGTTATTAGATAATTTCAGTGTTGAAAATTGTACTGCAGCTTATTGAAAAGTTAAAATCACGTATTTATAACAGACACAACCTTGCAAATATTTTAAAGAAGCATTTATCAAGATGTTGAAGAAGTAATACACAAATTGATGCTATTTTAATTCACTTAATTTTAATTATTTATTTTTATGGTAAAATTTAATTAAAAAATTATTTACTATTTAAAAGCAATATATCCATCAGAAATAGTGAGGTTAATCCTGAGGATATTTGACAAGAAGTGGTATTTAACATCTATCTATACTCTAACCCCCTAGAATTGACCTCACTACTTCTGAAGGTCAAATGGTCATTCATTATAAATGGCATGGGTCTGTATGGATGATAGAGTTTATTAGAAATCTATCATCATCATCTTCTTCTTCTTCATCATCTTCAACCTCATCATCAACATCTTCAATCTTGTTGTTATCAATAAAAGAATTTTTATCATTATTGATAAAATGAACTGCAACAACACCACCATCTTCATTAGAAGTCATGAGTTAGATCATTGTTATCATTAAAAGTGTGTGTTGAATCTTCTTCTTCTTCATCATTATTGATCAAAAAAGGGACTTTAATAATATCATCTCCCACTAAGTAAATAAAATAAAGTTTATAAATAAATATTTAAATGGTTTCTAACATCATTACAAATATTGTCTTTTAAAAAACTAGAAAATCTCTTGAAATAATTACTCCAAGCATTTTTTTTCTCCTTTAATAATACTTACTAATTTTGTAATCCTCCTAAAATCTGATTTCTTTTTTTTTCATTTTTTATTTTTTAAAAAATTTATTTGTTGAGATGGTTACACATAAAATCAAAATATTATTAAGCAAGCATTGTACAGAGAAACCCTCAATTTTTTTTTATTGTTAGTAAACATGGAAGCATTATTTGGTATGGCTCTGAGGAAGATATGCTATTTGTTGATAATCAATGATTTATTTTTTTTGTATTAACACCATTTTTACTTATAAATAGTGAAGTGAGATCAAAACATGAACGAAATCTGTTAGTTATGTCTTTTACATTATATAGCAATAGGTAATTATATAATATTCCTTATCGTGATAACCATTGAAGATAAATCACATACAATACGCACATAAAACTGCTCTTAGACAGTTTGTGAACACTAAGAAACGATTCGATATGCAACATTTTATTGCTCGAATATTTAAAACATTCTCATCTTCCATATGTTACAGTTAGGCTAATTTGACTTGGTTCCCGATGATATAACATGAATCAAACTTCAGAGAGGGGGGGTGGGCCAGTCCTGGAGTTTATTAATTATATTGTTGTCAAGGAGAATGTTAAAGCCTCTCGCTTTTCTGAAACCTTCCAACTTGTAATTTGCCTTAACTCATGGATGATAATCGATAAGTTAAAGCCTAAACCTAAGTCCTGTTTAACAGAATTCGAGACAGATTCAGATCCCTCTGAATCAAGTAACTTCAATGCTTCATCTGATTCACCTGATCCAGCCAAGAAAGAGCCACTCCAACCAGAGGATCAATCTAAAACAGAAATATAGTATAATTTCCAAAAAATAGTAAATATACACATTATTTATTAAATTTAAAGAAAAAAAAAGTAAATATAAAATAAATTAACCTTTTCTACATTCATAGTTGCTGTAATCTAAGGTCCCTTCCGTGTGTGTAATCACTTAAAAATATATAAATGTAAATAAAAGTTTTTTCAACATGCTGTGATATATTTTTTAATGATAAAAAGTTAAAATACAAATAAATACCTTGTCTTAATAAACCAATTAAAACATTAGTCTGTAGTGAACGTTCATGAGATTCGTTCATTACAACAGTATTATAATGATCAAGTTCTGATGCTTTAAATGATTCACACCATCAGTTATAAGAAATTAATTTTTGTCTTGTACATTTTATCAGAGTACTTTCAGAAGTATGTCTTCAAAATCGAATTTCATAACCCACTGTTGTTCCAAGATTACACTAAATAAATTAAAAACTTCTTGATGGATTTATTTATCAGTTACTAATAAATATTAAAAATTTTATTTGCATCCATTTCTTCACTACACGTTTAGCAACCAGCACATGTCAAGGTTGTGTACATCCAATAATCCCATACTTGCTATAACCATTTTCATAAAGATATTATGTAAGATGCGTGGTTTTACCTGAATTTGTTTCTCCAACAATAATAAATAGATTAATCTTAGAAATTAAGGTATGTTACTATTTTTTATTTATTTATATGATTTGTCTATTTGTTTATATGCCCATCTAATAATTTTTAAAAGTTCTTCATGAGATGCAAAAGCTGGTAAAATTCTCTCTATTTTTGATCTTGCTTTCAAATGTGATGCAAATTGAGAATCACCCAATTTCATTATTTTGTGCTATTTAAAAATTTTTTTTAAGAAAATATATTTATTATTATATTGCGAGTAATAAATGTCGCGCTACGTTCAAATTAATTATCCCTTAAACGAAATTGCGTCCAAATCTGGACGCAATTTACAATTGTGACTCAAAAATTATAAAAAAAGATATTTTCCTGCAGTCTCACCACAACCTTTCTTATTTCATAAATGATATTCAAAACCCTCTACTTCTATTAAAAAATGTATTTTGGGGTTACATATTACAAATAAAGAAATAACATGTGTAAAACAAAAAAGTTTTCTTTGCTGATCATTTTATAATAAAATGAAATTCCGATGGAGTTTGAAATCCTATATGCAATACTAATTAAAGAATGTTTCTAAAACCATCGTTGTTAATTAACTGCTTGTGGGACTCATTATATTGATATTTTTGTGTTTTGGAAAATAGACATAATAAAATATGGAATATATTAATAGAAATAAATGTATTTTCGATTTCAATATTAATATTAATATTAGTAAATACATACGGAAAAGACATTTATACTATTACTGTCTTAAATATGGAAATGGTAATGAAAAAGCATTCTCTCCTATGGGCGATCCCATATTAGTTATTAATTATGAGTATTACTTGAAGGAATTAAATTCCTGAAAATTGTAAATAACTTTGATCTAAATTTTTTATAAATACCAGGACCTTCAGACAAATAAAATCCAACTCAAATTATTTATTTGAAAATCAAACTCAATATTTGAATAAAAAATAAAACAATTTTTAACAATTTATTTTTAATCTTGAAATAATTGTTTTTAATAAAAGTCAAATTTTAATTTAACAATAAAAACTACTTTTAATAAAAATCAAAATGAATCCTGAACAAAATATTAATATTTTTGAAGATTCCAACGATCCCAGCAATGGATATTATATTGCTAGTATTACAAGAAGGCTGGGTGGTTTTTATGATAATGAATTATCTGAAGATTTTAATGATCCAGAAACAATCAATGATAATGAAGATGGCGAGGATGATGAAGGTGAAACTTCAAGTTTTAGTAAAATTAGGAGCAGTAGAGAAATCAGAAGCAACCATGGAAGAAGAGAAGGAACTAGAGGTGGTAGAGACACACAACAAATTGATCTTCCAGATCCACCATATTTTAATCAATTTAATCATCAATTACCATTGCATGATTCTGAAACAAATTTGCCATACGAATTTAACAATCTTGATCTTGTCAATCCTATCCAAATTTTTAAATTATTTTTTACAAATACTATTTTGAGGACAATTGTAAGCAATACCAATATCTATGGTAAAAGTAAAAACGGAAACTTATGGATAGACATTGACTTGTTTGACTTGCACATTTGGCTAGGAATAATCATTTATGCAGGTTTATTTAAAACACCATCAATTCGGGACCTTTGGAATAAGGATATAAAAATGCCAATACACCCCATTGCATCATATATGCAGATTAGAAAATTTGAAAAAATAAAAAACTTCCTACATATTTCAAACATAGAGGAGGCTCATCCATTTTGGTATTCTAAACTTGAACCATTAGCATCCCATATAAACACAATATCGCAATCCATTTTCACTCCATCATCTAATGTTTCTGTAGATGAAATGATTATAAAATTTTGTGGCAGAAGTGCACATACCTTTAGATTAAAAAATAAACCAACACCAGAAGGGTATAAAATCCTAGCTTTATGTGATGCAGGATACACTTTCTCTTTCATATTTACTTCTAGAACTGAAAAAGAAGGTGAAGTTCAATCAATTGGAAATCTTGGTAGAATAGGAAGTCAAGTTGCACATTTAGCTTCCAGATTACCATCACATAAAGCATTTAATATTTACATGGATAATTATTTCACAAGTATCCAGTTATTTAAATTTTTACGTGAAAAGGGGATTGGTGCATGTGGGACCGTTCGTACAAATTCTTCAAGATTCCCTCTGTTCTTAGAATAAAAAATAAAAAGTTAGATTGGGACACACTCTCTGGTGTTGTTATTGATAATGAAGTATTGGCAATATTGTGGATAGATAATGGTCCTGTTACAATGCTATCCACAATACACAATATTGTTGGTGATGAAAATAAAATAAATAGAAACAGACGTCACCCACGTCTAACAAGTACCAATGCAGCCAAAGTAAACAAAGTCTTCGGTAACAGCACAAGAAAGATATTGTCAATCCCCAAAATAATCAATGATTACAATCACCACATGGGTAGTGTGGACATTGCAGACCAGTTGAGGTGTTATTATTCAACGCAACAAAAAGTCAGAAGAACCTGGATGCCTATATTTTTCTGGTTGTTGGATATTGTAATCATCAATTCTTATTTAATATATAAAAAACGGTATAATAATGAAATGACTCATAAAGAATTCAGTTTAAAACTTTCATGGGAATTAATTGAAGAAGGATTAGATAAAAACAATGAAAGAGAAACCCGCGGACATACCATACTTGAATCATCTTCATCTTCATCCAGAGCTTCCTACATTAAGCAAAGATCAGAATTAACCACAGAAAGGTTAGTGATTGAAAATAATCATCTTCCAGAATATAGAGAAAATAGAATTGCGTGTGAATGGTGCAAATTTGAGACCCAAAGGGACGAAGGAAAATCTCATAAGTCTCAAAATCGTTCTTATATTTATTGTACAGCATGTAATGTTGCATTGTGTTGTTCTCAAGCTAGAAACTGCTATATAGATTACCACACAGAGACAGATTGCTGGTCTTGTTTTTTTAATTTTATTATTTTATTATTTATTTTGGTTACACAATACTTGAAAATCTATACGTAAGTTCTTTCTTTATATTTAAAAAAAAATCGTAGCCTAAATTAGCATCATTTTTCTAAATAAAGTTGTTAAATGGAACATGTATTATTACATATCTTACGGTTTTAGGCCTGGTTTCAAATGATGAAATTTTTTACTAATCGCAGCTTACAAAAAATCCAAAAATTAGTTTTTTTTTTAAAATGTGTTTATTTTAGTATCAGTAAAACTTCTACAAAAAATTTTTTTTATTAAAAACGAATGTTTATACATAAATTTCATAACCTTTTCTATCGAAAAATCAAAAAAAATTGGTATTAGTTAGTGATTTTTTTTGTCTAGTGGGGTCTACAATTTTTTGAAAATTGCGTCCAGATTTGGACGCAATTTCTGTTCGTTTAAGGGATAATATTAACTAAATTTTCTCCATTTTCACTCTTTTTTTAAAAAATATATATATTAATATATATATATATTATATAAGTTTTTTTTTAATTATAAAAAGCAATGGCCTGTTGTCAAGCTTTTCAAAAGCGTGCTAGATTAGCATGTTTAAAATTAAGACCAACATGCTCAACTTTATGTTTGCCCTCCATAACAAAACTGTTATGTTACTTTACCATTATACCCCTTATATTTTTTTTTTACTACTCAATTTTAGAAAAGTATTTTGATAAATTATCACTTACTACTGAACCTCCTTACCATCAATATACTACAGGTTTGTTATTTTTACTTTTAATCTATCTATATACATACATGCATATTTAATTTTAACTTAATGATAACTAGAACCAGATGATTTGAGCGAGCATATTCACAATTATTAGACTTAAACTCTAGATGGAAACCTAGTCTACCCTCAAATTTAACTGTAGTTTCTATAATTAAAAATAATGACAATGTTGAATTACAATTGAACTCTATATTTAGTCAAACAATTATGCCACAAGGCATGATTATAATTGCCTCCAAAAATACAGCTAAAAAAGTCAAACATGTCATTAAAGAGAATGATAAATACAGTGGTTTTGATGTATGGATACATGTTATGGAAACAAACAAATTTAGAATCATTGGTTGGTTAGAAGCAGTGTTGTGCCATTTATGGTTCCAATAAAATTTCATTAGAGCATTCTAATAAATTCCAATTGGAATTGGAACATTCCAAATGTGGTTCCAATGAAGTTAACCAATGAAATTCAATTATAGTGTCATACACACGAATTTTATTGGTTAATATCAATTGAAGATCTACATTGGAACATTCCAATAGCGTTACAATATTCCAATTGCACAACACTGAAATAATGTAATACAAAAATAAACATTGATTTTTTTGTTTTTAGAAATTTAATGAAGTCGATATGCTTATCTGAATAATATATAATTATTGGAAATTTACAGCATAATTTTGGTTTTACAGAAAGCTACAATATGGACTAGTATAAAGTCAAGTAGTGTGAAAATGTTAATGTGCAATTGGCAGAGCATCCTTATGCAGGATTTGTACATGGGAACATGTATGCATGTAATATTTTAGGATTAGACCACAATGGAGTTCACACTAAGATAGTTAGCCTTGACTGGGCAGGTTGTGAAACGGCTATAAAGATATAAGTCAAATACCACTACGAATGCTACAACATTAACAACGCCATCTTCTTCTTCTAGTAGTGAGTATTAATTCATTCAAACATCCAGCTACACCATCAAAATATTCGGACCACTGAGACTCCCACTTTGCAAGATCTCGCGGATATAATCGTGACGTTACCTGCTGAAGAGGATTGCTTCTGTTCCATTTACAATAAAATTTATGTCTCATTTAAATGGTCATAAATTCCCAATCAAAAATTTAAAAAAAAAATAATTTAATAATAGTCGGCACATTTGTAAAAAAAATATTCTTTAAAAATATATATAAAGAAATTGTTTATTAAGAATTTTTAACATGAAACCTTAAAAATTGCTGATCTCTCTCAAGAGACATAATAGGTCTGATTGAAACGACTCAAAACCATAAATGTCAAAAGAGGTAATTGGTACAAGTATCATCACAAAGAAACATGTTGTTTTGGTAATAATAATATCAATTTTAATTTATGTTTTTGTACGGACAGGGACCTGTTAAATATTAATGTGGGTAACCTGTTATTCCGAGACCTTTCTTTGCACATCACCCAAGTAACCAACTGAGCCTGTTTTATTAATTGCAAGTAAATAATAAATAAAATTAATTTGGATGAGTGATGATTTTTTTGTGTTTGTTAATATAAAATCCAAAAACAAATTCGTCAAGTTCATTGTTGATAAAATCATTTCGATTTTTTTTTCTGATAAATCTCTTCCATAATAATTGAATTTTTGACAAAGTTTCAACTGTTTTGGTTGTCAACTGCTTCTTCGTTGACTATAGAACCCAGCGTAAAACGGAAAAAAGCCTTTGGCAGAAAAAAGCTTAGTTTCTAGTTTTTATAGGGGTGAAGGAATTATTGTGTATACTAACTCGTTAAAGAATATGAATTGACCAATTAAAACTCATCTAAAAAAGAGCCTTTTCGTTCTAATCTTTTTAATAATAGTAGTAATTATGATCAAGAAATGACACTTCTGTTGTAATGGTGAAGATATGATTAGAGAAGAAGCCATTCGATCAAGTGTTAATTTTATTTAGAAGAAGTCAGAAAATTATATTTATCACAAATAAATTAGTGGCACTCTTACATTACATTTTTAACTAATTTTATTATTATTATTATTAACGCAGTTAATAATATTTATACATATAACATATTAGATTCTAATTAAAGAAAAGTCGATAAATATTTATAGATACAAAATATTAAATTCTAATTAAAGAAAATGAAAAATGAAAAATAAATTTTAATAACCAAATTTACAAATATAAAAACGAAAATAATTAAAAATAAATAGAATTTCTAAAAAAGTTGAAATTTTTTTATATATATAACAAGCTAAAGAAAAAGAAATATCCATTTTTAATTTTTTTTCAAAAATAAATATGAAATAATTGTTCAAATAATACAAATGAAAATTATTAATTATTGAAAATTATTATACAAATTGATTATAATTTTAATATTGTCTTGTTATTCTAATTATTGATAATAAACGTTATATATTTTTGAGGATTCAACTTTCACATATTTGAAGAGCATTATTACGCTCATCAGGCGACGGTAACTCTTCATATTGATTTTTTACAGGAGGAAATTTATTTATTGTTGCAATGAGATCGTTCATCCCTATTAAAAAAAAAGAAAATAATATATAAATATATTATATAATCTCTCGAATATATTATATATATAAAATTATTATTTACTTAATGGTTTAGTCACATATTCATCCATTCCTGAATAAAGGCATTTTTCTCGATCTCCTATCATTGCATGAGCTGTTAATGCAATTATTGGAACATGACCACCATATTGAGATTCATAATCACGAATTTTTTGTGTTGCTTCAAAACCACCCATTATAGGCATCTGAACATCCATTAAGATCTAAATTAAATAATATTAATTATCATAAATAATTATAATTAAAAAAAAAAACAATTTGACAATAACAATAACAACAAAATAATAAATAATAATAATAAATTACCAAATCATATCTTTTATATTTAAAGGCTTCAACAGCCAATTGTCCATTAGCAACTATTTCTACTTTATGACCAAATTTCTCTAAAATTTTTACTGCTAATTTTTGATTTACTACATTATCTTCAGCCATTAAAATATCCAAAGGCTGTTGTCTTGTACAATCACTTGGTATTGAAGAGTTAGATTCAAGTGCAGGCAATAAAGCATTCATCAAATCAGGTAAAGTTGATGGTGTACTACTATATGAAGTAATTCCAAGATCTATACAACTCTTCATATTTAGTTCTGGTATTGTAGGTGCTAATAATACAATTGGAATATACCTGAGATATGTTATTTTTCGTAACCTTTCAACTATAGTTAAATCATCAACTATTACTGTATCAAACAAAGGTACATCTGATTTTCTAGATGCTGTGATAATAGCTGCTTCTTCAACAGAGTTTGCAATTTTTGGTTTAAGCCCTAATTTTTCAATCATACCAACAATTCCTGTTTTGTCATGTAATGTATCAATAAATAATATATAACGTCCTTGCCATGGTAACATTTTTTGTTCAATTTGTTCTGGATTTGTTGTAGCAGGTGTGACTTTGACTGTGAAAAAGAATTCAGAACCTTTACCAAACTCACTCTTGACCCATAAATTACCACCCATCAAGTTAACTAAACGTTTGGATATTGAAAGTCCTAATCCAGTTCCCCCATATTTTCTTGTTGTAGATCCATCAGCTTGACAAAATGTGTCAAAAATCAGTCCAATTTTGTCTGCTTGAATTCCTATACCAGTATCTTTTACACAGAACGTCAAAAGTACTTGATCACCTTCTGTTTCTGATGTATCTACAGAAAGCATCACTTGTCCTTCATTTGTAAATTTCATTGCATTCCCTATAAGATTTGTTATGACTTGTCTCAAACGTAAGGGATCACCAATCAATTGATCAGGTATACCATTATTCACATCATATATAAGATCTAGTTTCTTTTGAGTTGCTTTAATGGCAAGAGTTTTTAAAACACCAAATACAGCAGAGCGAAGTGAAAATGAAATTTGTTCAATTGTCATACGTCCAGCCTCAACTATATGTATATAAATAATATATTAGTAAAATTACTCCTTTCTTTAAGATAATAACAATAACAATATAACAATAATCTTACTCTTTGAAATATCCAAAATATCATCAATAATTGTCAATAAAGAATTAGCTAAAGAACTAACTATTGTTAAATTTTCACGTTGTTGACGTGTTAACTCTGTTTCAAGTGTCAAGGTTGTCATCCCTATAATACCATTCATAGGGGTGCGAATCTCATGTGACATATTTGCCAAAAACTCACTCTTACTTCTATTAGCTAATTCAGCTGCTTCTCTTGCAGCAGTATTTTTTTGAATACTTTCTCTTAAATTATACACCATTTGATTTATTTTAGTTTTAAGAGAATCCATTTCACCAGATGCATCAACAGTAATAAATTGAGTAAAATCTCCGTCAGTTGCAGCAGCAGAAATTTGTGCAAATGCACGTACTTGAGAAGTTAAATTTGCTGCCATGGTATTGACATTAGATGTGATTTCTTTCCAAGTTCCCCTTACATCCTTAACTTGGGCTTGAACACCTAATTTTCCTTCAGTTCCCACTTCTCTAGCTACTCTTGTTACTTCAGCAGCAAATGTAGATAACTAATAAATGGTTATTTAAAATATAAATAAAAATATAAATAAAAATATAATATAAATATTATATATAAAATAAAAGAATAATTGATCAAACTTACTTGATCAACCATAGTATTAATTGTATTCTTTAATTCAAGGACCTCCCCCCTAACATCAACAGTGATTTTTTTACTTAAATCACCACGAGCAACAGCTTTTGAAACATTTGCAATATCACGCACTTGAGAAGTGAGATTTTCCGCCATAGTATTGACGTTGTCTGTTAATTCTTTCCAAGTACCACCCACATCTTTAACTACAGCTTGACCACCAAGTCTTCCTTCAGTGCCCACTTCTCTAGCTACTCTGGATACTTCAGCAGCAAATGTATTGAGTTGATTAACCATAGAATTTACAGTGTTTTTAAGATCTAGTATTTCACCCTTGACATCAACGGTAATTTTCTTGCTCAGATCACCGCGGGCTACAGCAGTTGTAACTTCCGCAATAGAACGTACTTGAGTTGTAAGATTTGCCGCCATTATATTTACATTATCGGTCAATTCTTTCCAAGTACCATCAACGTCTTTAACAACAGCTTGACCACCTAATTTACCCTCCGTTCCTACTTCCAAAGAGACTCTTGTTACTTCGGTGGCAAATATTTGCAATTGATCGACCATAGTATTTATTGTTTTCTTTAAATCAAGGACTTCACCCCTGACATCAACAGTAATTTTTTTACTTAAATCACCACGAGCAACGGCTTTTGAAACATTAGCAATGTCACGCACTTGAGAAGTGAGATTTTCGGCCATGGTGTTAACATTGTTCGTTAATTCTTTCCAAGTACCTCCAACATCTTTAACATCGGCTTGACCACCCAGAATACCTTCAGTACCTACTTCTCTGGCTACTCTAGTTACCTCAGCAGCAAACATACGAAGTTGATCAACCATAGAATTTACAGTGTTTTTGAGTTCTAGTATTTCACCTTTGACATCAACGATAATTTTCTTACTCAGATCACCACGAGCTACAGCAGTCGTAACTTCCGCAATAGAACGTACTTGAGTTGTAAGATTTGCTGCCATTATATTTACATTATCGGTCAATTCTTTCCAAGTACCATCAACGTCTTTAACAACAGCTTGACCACCTAATTTACCCTCCGTTCCTACTTCCAAAGAGACTCTTGTTACTTCGGTGGCAAATATTTGCAATTGATCGACCATAGTATTTATTGTTTTCTTTAAATCAAGGACTTCACCCCTGACATCAACAGTAATTTTTTTACTTAAATCACCACGAGCAACGGCTTTTGAAACATTAGCAATGTCACGCACTTGAGAAGTGAGATTTTCGGCCATGGTGTTAACATTGTCCGTTAACTCTTTCCATGTACCACCAACATCTTTAACTACAGCTTGACCACCCAGAATACCTTCAGTACCTACTTCTCTAGCTACTCTAGTTACCTCAGCAGCAAACATACGAAGTTGATCAACCATAGAATTTATAGTATTTTTGAGTTCTAATATTTCACCTTGCACAGGAACTTTTACTTTTCTGGACAAATCACCACGAGCTACAGCAGTCGTAACTTCAGCAATAGAACGTACTTGAGTTGTGAGATTCGCTGCCATTAGATTCACATTGTCGGTAAGATCTTTCCATATTCCACCAACATTTTTAATGTTTGCTTGACCACCCAATTTCCCTTCAGTCCCTACTTCAAGTGATACCCTTGTTACTTCAGTTGCGAATGTTTGTAACTGTGTTAAACAGACAAAAAAGTGTGAATGTATGTATAAATATATAAATGAAAATGTGTATATAAAAAAGAGATTTACCTGATCAACCATAGTATTTATGGTATTTTTTAAATCCAAAATTTCACCTCTTACATTAACAGTTATTTTTTTACTAAGATCTCCTCTAGCAACAGCTTTCGACACATCAGCAATATCACGAACTTGAGCTGTTAAATTTGCAGCCATTGTATTTACATTATCAGTAAGCAATTTCCAAGTCCCACCAACACCTTGTACTTGAGCCCTTACCCCTAGTTTCCCTTCTGTACCTACTTCATGAGCAACACGGGTAACTTCTGATGCAAAAGAATTTAATTGATCAACTAAAAAAAATAAAAAAAATAAAATTCACATTAAAAATGAATAATAATAGTAAATAATATGATTCAATAACAGTAATAATAATAATAAATTATTATTGAGATTCTTACCCATAGTATTTATAGTATTTTTTAGTACAAGGGTTTCACCTTTAACTTCAACGGTAATTTTTTTGCTTAAATCACCATGTGCTACAGCCGTACATACTTCAGCAATATCTCTTACTTGTTCAGAATGATTACTAGCCATCATATTTAGATGTATCATCATTTCTTTCCAGTCACCATCTAAATATTGATTTTTAGCTTGAATTCCTAATTTTCCTTCTTCACCAACTTCACGAGCAACTCGAATCAACTCAAAAGCCACATTGTCAAGTTTTTCAACCATGGTGTTGATTGCATTTTTTAAAGTAAGCATTGGACCTGATGAATAAGGACAAGTAACTCTTTTTTTGAAATCTCCAGAAGTGACGGCTGTGGCAACAGTGGTACATTGGTTAAGACATTCTAAACAAACACGGTCATCGTGAACCAAAGCAGGTGGTGTTGAAGGAGGACTTTCCTGACTTATATAATCACTGGTAGGTTTATTTGTAGAATCATTGACATAAGCATGTATAGAAGAAGATTTGTTGAAATCATCTGAAGGAGCGACCAACTGAACAGTGTTGGGATAATTGTCGCCATTAATAAGATTTTGCACTTCTAAACATTCATTTGGAGTGATAGGTAAAGAGGGATTTCCGCCGTTTATGATCACAATTGAATCAGACTCGCTGAGAAATGCTTGATATTGAGCGACTTGTTTTTCAAGTTGTAGGTGACGCTCTAATAGTTTTCTTAATACACAGTCCAACTTTACTGTATTTTCATTTTGTTGGCCTTGATATTGTAAATTCAAGCAATACTCTGTATTTCCATCATGAAGATTTTGAAGGACATCAGTAACATATCCAATAACATCCGTCGTCATGTATAAATATAGTTTAATTAAAAATTTAGAGGTTTTATTTTTTCTTTTTAGTTCTATTAATATTAAGAATTTTATATATTTATATATAAAAAAAGAAAGTATTAATTATTTTTTTTTAGAAAATTAGAAAAACAATGAAAGAAAAAATTTTTAAACAAAAATTTATTTTAAAAAAGAAATTTAAAAAAAAAGGTTTTAAATTATGGAGAATTATTTAGAGGAATATATTTGTTATTGTTGGAGATTACACAAGGGATTAAGGAACATCGCCAACCTTTTTTGACATAAATTAAGCTAATATTCTTGATTTAACTCGCTTCTGGGAATTTGTGTCACAAATAAAATAAATAATAAATAATGCAGACTATTGTTTCTTAATGATATTCTATTGATTGATCATAAAATTATCAAATTTTGGAAATTTTAGAAGAAAAAAAAGCCACATGATACAAATCTGCGCGACAATGTCATCATACGTACTTTTTCTCAATTGAGGGTATTTTTTTAATAAAAAAAACAAAAAAAAAAAACCAATTTGAAGAAGCAAAGAATACAAATAGGTTGATGAGAAATGAAACTTTAAATTAATTATTAATAATTAATTGTATATCGGAAAATGTATTAAACTGCTATACAAAAACAGATAATGTTATATTATCCCCGAGTAATAATTAAAATATTTTGTAAATTGTCTCTATACTTATTAAGCATGACGAATCGGGATAGTTTATTATAGAAAAAAGGTACACAAAGGATCGGGACACAACAATCACACATATTATGAGTACACCATTTAAAAAAAATTCTGCGCAGCGTCATGAGCCAATAACATCGTAAAATAAATCATGTATTATTATTATATTGCTAGAGTAATAAAGATCCAGGACAAAAGAAAATCTCACTCCAAATGTCATTTCAGCTTTCGCTCTTTTTATTATAATGATACATCAGATATTCATTAAACCATCGTTTGAAAAACTATTTAATTCTGTGGTTGTTGTACTTGAAATGTTTGCCTTGGTAGTTTAAAAAAAGAAATCTTTTTCTCGAGTATTTAAAAGTTAGGTAAAACAAATATAGAACACTTTCTAGAAGTGAATGTTTTTGAATGCACATTGAATTTTAAAAAACCAATTCGGCAACCAACTTTTAATGAAATAAAAATAAAAACTTATTATCCATCATCAAACCTAAATCTAATAACAGTTAAATTGCTTCATTTTCACTATCAGAAAAGTACTTGATTTGTCTTTACAGAATATAAAGCATGGACACCCACCGGTTAAAATCCTTTATGGTAAGCATCCAAGAATGGCTTGCATACTTACGTATTTGTTCTCTAATGATACAGATTCAAGTGCTTTCTGTAACTATTTTTTCCAGCCTTTAAAATGGGAATTTTTTGGTTGCTACTCGGATAAAGTTAAATTCAGTAAAAGTTGGCAGTGAATTCCGAAATCAGAAAATTAAATTGACCAATCAAAATTTAACGAAATATTAAGTTCATACTTACATAATAATGTTTACCTTTGTGAGCAAGTGCACTGAGTTATGTTACACGTATCAATGGCCTTTGAATAAAAACCATCTAGTAAAATGTATCCAAAGTAATAACAATTTTGAACTTCATATGACAAGGAAAAGTAGATGAGTAAATAAATCAACCACTCATTGAAGGTTATTTGATTACACGATCACGTGAATTCTATTTTAGTATTTAGACCACGCGCCATTAATCTATTTTATTATAAAAAAATAAAGGGCTTTACTTTGGATCTTTTTTTTGTTATGAAATTTTATCACTTGATTGGTTCATAGTAAATAGACAGATCAGCAACTAATTTTTAGCATATTTTTAATATATGTGTGAAAAAAAAAATCTTGATACACAGAATTTACTTGGAACTTTAAGGCCCAACCAATTTTTAGTTTAAGAAAAAAATTATCCAATAAATATCAAGGCTCATATATACATTCATTTTGAATTTGAATTTCGAATTAATTTCGATTTTCCCGGCTTACATATCCAAAAGAAATTTATAAAAATTCACTATCTTTTGATTGAGACATATTTGTATAGCTCAATCATAATCAAAATCTTTCATCTAACATTGACACGTGTAACATATCATTGTTAATTTATTGCGTAAATCTGTCTTGATAAGAGAAAAACCGCATTCACACTGGACAATAGGATTGAACCAATTATATCAAATGAATTTGGAAACATGTGTGTATAATTTCATAGAGATGGTTCAATAAAAATATTCTTTACTATTGCAACAACGTCAGTTTCATTTTCATGGGTAGACCTGACAAAGAAAAATGAAAATGAAAAAGAAGGATTGGAATGTTTTATAAAAGAAATCCACAAATTAAATGTTTTTTTGGTAAATCTATTATTTTTATTTTTAGGAATATTCATAACTCCTCGAACCTGATCGATAATATTTCAAATTTCAATAATGTAAACAAGTAGTTTGGATCCGATGAGTCGTTAATCACTTGGATCGATCAAAGCAAGATATTAAGGTTCCTACTTTAATAAGTAAAGACGATATGAGGTTTAATAATTTATTAATTACTCATTAATAATTTAGTTGTTTTTATAACAATTATATACGACAGGCTGGATAACGAATGGTTAACATTAAGTATATATACATTCTTGTATTTTTAATTTAAACGAGAAAAAAGAAGAAGGAAGAAAAGGATAGTAGAACAGGATTAAGTCAGGATAGTGAGCTCAATAAACAGTAAGCAAGCATATTAGAAAATGTCATTTTTCAATTATTGCCTTAAATGTTGAACAACTAGAAACAATTATTGTATTTTGTATTTACTTGGACAAATGAGTGATACTATTGCTACTACATCTGCAATGGCTATGAATCATCAGAGGCAAGTGAATCTGGAATTACTTAGAAGAAGATAAATTATGTTCTCTTTAAATGGGTATGACCAATTGTGTTGTTTTTAAATGAACTTGGATTTTTTTTATTCCATCATAATAATATGTTTAAAAACTTCAGCAGCCTCGTAATTTGATAAACAAATTTAGTAATGTGGTAAATGATGATGATCTGAAAGATATCTTCAACATTGAGAGCTAGAAATGAAAACCAAGTTGAATCCCCACGATTTGGTATTGTAATTAATACATTTATTATTTTATTATAGGGTTTAATGATACGATTTGTGGATACACATCCATCCGTTCATCTTCCATTTACCTCTAAAAATTCAATCCGTCAGATTCAACGGATTCAACGGATAATCCAGATAATCCAATAAAATGTGTAAGCCAAACGCAAAAGGATCATTTAAACGAGAAAAAGCTCAAAATGCCCAAGTTTAAAAGCAAAGTAAAGAAAGGATGAAAGAAAACGATTTCTAATTTGTTACTTTCACTCAATTGGAACAGGACCCCACAACTATATAGATAGGTTACATACAAAAAATCACGGTTTGATACGTATAGGGTTTGACCCACACTGTGATTGGCTTATCGATGACAAGTATTTCCAAATTTGGTAATGTTCACCGAACATTGCATTTTCTATTAGTAAAATTTTTTAAGAATTACAAAAACCATTTTTATACTCAAAATTGCGACGCAATGATAGATATTGCAGTTTTTATAAGGAGAACTTTTTATTTAGCATGCAAGTCATGCATACCTGACTGTTTTTACAAAGTGCAAAAAAGTCAAATAGATTCAAAAGTATTTGACGGATGAACATATCAAGCTCTGCTAAAAATATTCGACTTCATCTCAAAACCAATGAGGGTTAATTATCATTCTACTGACCAGTTTACACATTAAAATACTTGTGTTTAATTCCAAGTCACAAATATAAGGTTTGAAACAAAGGTCCAAATCAGCTGATATGCAAATAATAATAATAAATAATAAATAATCAACAAACTTGTAAATTTATAATAATAATAAAATTAATAAGCCTTTTTAATTTAAATAATAATATGTTAGAAAATATCTTTTTCAGGACTTTTTAAAACTTTAAGTCCGGTATAAACGATATTTATTATACATTTTTGTTGTCATTGAAAACTTTTTTTCAGACAGGAGAAAACTTTTAAATAAGTTATTGTTATTTTGGCAAAGATAATAAATTTAAATGATAAGAAATCCAATAAATTATAAATAAAATATGCAAACTCTAATCTTTCGAAAATTGTTTACATAATTCTTGATCAAAAACAAGATTATTCTTTTGAGCATCCAAAAATTTACCATTATAATCGTCAATATAATTAGCAAATGATAGAACATTAATTATGGCACCATATTCTGGTAAATTGATCTAGAGAATTGCCAGATAGTATTTAGTGATTTCCAAAATTTGTATCGATAAAACCAAGATGCACTGATACTGATGCAAGATCTGATTAAAAAAAGGCATAATTTGTGTTGTTAAATAATATAAATATATATATATATGAATTTACGAATGAAAACTTACTTGAATCTTTACATTGACGAGGCAATTCATTACTAAAACATTATTGTGAAATCTTCAATTTCAATCAAAACTTTAACTGTTAAAATAATGGGTAGCCAAAAAAAAATTGACTTTACATTTAGTTTTTGCTTTGAATAAATGAGGGCTTATGTCTAGAGTTGTTAATCGAAAGGTATAGTTTCGACAAACATTTAGGCATTTCGACTGTCGAAATATATTCGACAAGGTCACTTGATTTGCTGTAGTTCGTAAATATTTGTCTTTAATATTAAATTAATTATTAATGTCATTAGTATTAGTAAATTTGAGAATGGCGCCAATTTTTTTAATAATAATAAACTAGTAATTTTGATTAGCGACTTCATCGCCTGTTGGGGTGTGCGACATTTTAAGAAAATCAAACCAACAAATAAATTTTGTTACATAATATATAGAGAAAATATTCCAAGCCTTGTATCTCATTTTTCTACTATGCAAACCGGGTTCAATTTTTTCACCAATTATAAATTCTTGTGTTGAGATTATTGTTGAGTGAAAAGTCACAAAAAAAAAAAAAAGAGAAGCTGGATTTACATTATGACATTAATTAGGTTTGTTAATCGAATACCCCAGTCGCCTGTGTACTGATACACCAATATTAATTTTAAAAATAAATTTTTTTTTACAACAAAAAAATTGTAATCGCTCAACTATAACTTTTTTAATTGTAAGCGTTATATTGTTTGTTTGAAGAGTACGCATGTTTTATTTAAGTTATCTAAGAGAATTTTTTCAGTTAATAGTTGTTAGTAATAGACTTCCATTAATAAAATACTAAATATAGTTAAAATATTTACACTGGTGGTTCATAGTGGGCTAGATCTTTTTATCGTTGTACAAAGAATCGCAGTCTAGGGTTTCTATTCGAATAAAACGAATAAGTCGAATAAGAAAATTGATTCGAATAGAATAAAAAAATTAATTTGAATAAAACAAATAATTCGAAAAAAATAATTCGGATAAAACTAATAATTAAGGTCCAGTTTAAATTCAAGCTCACTGGAAAGATTGCTATTTATTAAAAGAAACATGAATTTCAATTTTTATAATAATAAAATCAATATTAAACCTTGTTGTATATATAGTTTGAATATTTAAGTAATTGAACAACCCATGATTCCAAATAATCTAATAAAATGAATGAACAAACCCAAGATTCCGATAATGAATAAAACAAATAAAACAAATAATTTGAATAAAGCGAATTAAATTTTTAATTCGAATTAATATTAACATTAAAAGGTCAACTGTATTACGAATAGAAGCCCTATCGTAGTCAACACAGCAAAATTGTTCACTACAATGTTTTACCTTTTGATTTTACTCTTGTGCTTCCCAAAAAATTCAGTTTAATAAAGCTAGGGAACAAAGACCGTTTCGATATCAATTTTAACATTTCATATTAATATTAATATTCATGTTAATTTTTATAATATTTTTATTAATATTTAAATATAAATATTATAATAATAAATATAAAAAAAACGGCCTGAAAAAGATTTCCTTTTTGTTTAAAAGGCTTTCACAAATAAGAAAAAAATCGACAAGATTTCCAAAAAGTTTTATATTAAAAAAAAAAAATTTATTCCCGAAATTAGAAATTTTCTTCACGCCTTTATTAATAATAATTGTTAATAGTGCGGGTTTTTTTTGTTGAAATTAACTGATTAATTGTATATACACTAAAAATATCGATTGCATTCATCTTTTATCATTGATACAATGTAACTTCACTGTGACACGTGATCTTCAAGGAAATTTAATTTTTTTTCCAACATTCAATCTTTTAATATAGAAAAAAATATAAAGTTTGCGATTTTTTTTGTGAATTATTCCCTAGGTTTTATTTTCATTACAATTTGTAAGAATTTATATTAATAAATTATGATTAATTAAAGAATTTTTTAGTATATACATTTCATAGTGAAGAGGTATTAGTATATAACAGTTTTAGAAATTAAGTTATTTTATAATTACTAGAATATTTTTAATACTATTATTAATTTATAGATTGTAGCACTACTACAACATTACAAAGAAGATGTATCATTGAAGTGGAAGATTATAATGCTAATATTGAAGAAACTACAAAGTCTCGGTCAAAACAATCTAATGGCCGACCTTTAGCTGGTGTTTGGGAGTTTTTTGGCTATGATAAAGAAGAATCCAAAAATGGTCATCGTTAGGCTACTTGTTTTAAATGTAATATGCATTGGAGTCGGGGTAGACCTATTGAACTTTCGATATCACTTTAGTCTTTCGACATGCCTAAATGTTGAATGACGAAACGTTTCGACTAACAACTCTACTTATGTCTCAACAAAAACATAAAAGTGATGAGGCTATCGTGTTTGAACGAGGATGACTTCAATTTCCATCCTACAAATTCATTTTCTAATTATAAAGTTGGTACAATTATGTTGAAAAAAGACTCGGGTAAAAAGTACGGACAATTTGCAAATTAATTAAGGCTTTGAGAAACCTTTTCTCACCTTGTCATTTATTTACTACTAAATCTATAATTACTACGAGAGAAATACGATTACTCTGAGGAAATACTTAAATCTTTCAGAAAGTTCATTTTTTTTGTTTAATTCTTCTCGGATGTTGCTTTCAATATAAATCAAGTTATTTTTATGGTGGCATAAAGTTTGGTCAAAGTTATTTTTCGCTAAAAAGTACGAGTTAATCCAAAGTAAAAGACCTTGACTAAAGTGAGAAATACTTACCAAATAAAAAATATTTGGTTGAAATCATAATTCGGAAAGGTACACACTCTAGTAAACATTTCTCTTAAATGTTAAAGTTTTTCGAATTTGATAGAAAATAAGTTTTTACATTCACCAAAAATTTTTACATTCATCAAGGGTTTTTTCACAAATGTATATTTTGGGTGTTCGATTCTATGTTAGAATATGAACTAACTATGAAGAATAGATGGAGTATCCAATAACCAATACTGAAATTTCTTCCACAGTTTATCTATTTTGCAATTGTCATTGATAATTCATCAACAGCCCACAAAAGAAAATTTGACAAGAAAGGTGGACCTCGTGATAACTTTGGTTGGAAATGCTTTAAGGATGGTGACGAAGCAAAAGCATCACAAATCCAAAATGCCTTCGAATAGCACCTGTGAATTTTTTTTTTTTTTTTGAATATTGACCAAAGTTGTAAATTATTACGTCAAATTCGTCAAAAGTGACGCAAGTAAAAACCTTGACGTAAATAAAAACGTAAAATTGCTCTAAACGCCAAAAAAAAACATATAATTATATATTCCAAGGTCTTCTCTCAAACTTGGCACCAAAACCAATATCTACAATGCAGGTTATTGATAAACTCTTATGATGTGTGGGTAAAACCCAGAAATATGTTTTTATCAATATTGTGTATACGTCAACGACTAAAGTCAAATGTTTCATTAGTTTGCAATCAGCAAATAAGGGCAAACGACTAAAATGAATCGATCACATGAGAACTTTATAGAAGCACTTGAGCTTTGTAAAGGGGCCATCTTTATTTATTTAATACCATAAGTGTGCTTACAGGTGCAAGAAAGAGGCAGTAATCGAGAACCAAAATAAATTTGTAATCTGATTAAGTGACAAAAGTAGCCCAAAAGTTAAGCAATAATTACCATACTTGTTAAATAATTGGTATTAATCGAAATGATGCCTCGCAATATTAATATCACCATTTAACAAGAATCAAAAGACTGTGAAAAGTTTATTATAAGAAATAAAATAAAGATAAAATAAAGTATAATGAATAAATAATTTGTAGTGCAAGTCATTCTTATTTCGGCTGTTTATATTCTGATGTCGCATTTAGATTAAACAAAAGTTTAGTTTAAAAACAATTGATGCACTTGATTTAATTTGTCAAATTTGTCAATTCCAAGTAACGTGATACACTACTACGTGAATTTTTTGTCGTGTAGTAGTACAAGTAGTTTAAAAAATATTAATATATAGAGGGAGGATTTAGAAGGATTTGAATTCATCAACGGTAAAAAAAGTTCTTTCCAACCTTAATAATAATAATAATAATAATACAAAATTTTACCGAAATATGTCAAAATTTATTATGAACAACTATTTGATCTTTCTCGGGTTCTTCTTCATTGCATTGGTTAATATCATCGTCTTTGTATTTATAAATTTATGTATTATATTTATTTATTATACTAATTTATTTTTATATTAATTAATAGAGCACAAATACTTATGGAGTTGTTCCTAATGTACCCTATAAAACTGTAGCTCTTCCATCCAACTATGGTGGTTGGGTCCTTTGCGCAACAGAACCAACCACTAATGCTGGTAATTTTATTAATTAAATTAATTAAATAAGAATCAATATTTTATTATTATATAACTAACAATAAAATACAATTTTTTTATAACATATAGTGTAAGGCTTGCACCACCGTCCTCTTCGCTTTCTTCACCTACGTTTGGGACGTCTGTTCAAGGGAAAGATAAATCAAAAAAATAATGGATACGGATTTGCTGTTGCTTTATATGATCCAACTGCCGATAAAATTTACCTAGATACGGAATGTGGAGCTAATGGTTATGCTTGTTATGCTGTTGACACTGTTGCCAAAGGACCTAGCACCAAAGTTTGTATCATCATTATAAACCCTACGCAAAACAACTTGATTCTTAATGTCGTTGCTACCTTCACTGCTGAGAGCCCCTTCATCTCCAACGATCTCAATTCAAATCCAAGCTTCTCCAATTTTGCGGTCTTAGATACCCCCCTTAACGAAACAATAACTCTCGACTATAAGAGCTACATTACAACTGCTCAATTGAGCAAAAGATATTATAGAGATTAATTTTTTTAATTATTTAGAAATGCCTCGCATTGTTCTTTTGCTTTTAATCTTAATTTAATGTTTAATCTTTGTAGTTTTATTTTATTATGTGAATATAACATATCTATAATTATTAATTAATTTAATTTTGAGCGATACTATTTGTTTTTACTTTTTGTTTTTGAATAATTACCGTATAACAATTAGAGAATTTTAAGAATTTTATAATAATAATAAATATAAGATATTTGTCACGCAAAGGCAAATCAACATGAGAAATTTAATAATAACTATTGATCTGCAGGACATGTCAAAAAACCTGACGCTAATTACCAAATTTGGTTAGCATATCACATTCCCGCACACTGAATTTTTATACAACTGTTTTTTTGCCAGAATTTTAAGTTTGCTAAATTTGGTATTTCTAATTAAAATAATAAACGTTCTGGAATTTAAAAGAAAATTTATTGGCTAAGTTTATAAGATCTTTTCGTTGAATAAAATAAAAACAAGAAAATCATGGCAAGAGCTTTATTAACTGGTCATATGATTTCCAATTTATAGGTTTAAGCAATATAAGGACGACGATTTTGATATTATCCTGATAGATGATTTTAATATACATATACATGCACAAAATCGATAATATTTGATAAAAATGAAAGATAATCAATTAATATTGTGTATTTATATAACCAAGTTATTCCTTTCACCCATTAAATATAACGCACACACATAAAAATCAGTAACCCGATAGATGATTTTAATAATTTAATAATTTTTTCCTTTACCTGACATTCATTGATATCATTGATATCTCATTTAATCCAAAAAATTTGATAATAAAAATAATTGATAAATAATTATTTATGCTCTCTGATTATGGCTAAATTATTCACTTTACCCATTGAACACATACACATACAATAAAAATCGGTAATAATTCATAAAACGATAAATATATAAATTTAATATACAGTCAAACCCTCGGTTTCACCGAATTACAATTAAATTCGCGTTTTTTAAAAATACGGTTATACGTTATTATTATGAAAACATAAAAATTCGTCGTTTCAAATGAAATTTCCAGCCACTTCGTTGAAAACGAGGTTTGACTGTACATAAGTAAATTATTGAATAAAAAAATAGTTTTAATTCTTACATGTAAATTTAGATAAAAGCAAACTTAGGGCACATTCATTGATAGGTAACTGCCTGAAACTAGAAGTTGGTTCTATGTTTACTATGGTTATTAAGAAGAATTTTTGTATAAAGTTGTTGAACATCCAGGTAATTTTCCTAAATGAAAATTTTCCTCAATTACAAGTCAGCATCCAAACTTTAAGGGTCATTTATTAGTAACTACCACCAAGGAACCTCATACAAATGCGTTTTAACTAACAAAAGAAGAATTAAAAAGCCTCTTCCCAGCTATCAAAGATAGTATCAATAGAATCCAAAATATCATTAGATAATAAATGGAGCGAATTGATTAGTGAATCAATTCAATTGGAATGTTCAACATGAAATTTCAGATTTAAAGGTTTATCAAGAAAAAAAATTAGAATATAAAGAAAAAGATGAGGATGATGATCAAGATGAAGCATAATTACAATGATGATAACGATAGTATAATAGATTACAAACAAATATCGTGAACATTTAAATTAGACTTTATTCTAAAAAATATCTATAATAATAATAGTTCCACCCTTTTTTTTCAGCAATAATAACAACAATAATTAATAAACAATGTTATAATTTAGTTGTTGAGTTTTTCTGGCTCTCTTCTCTTTTGAGAATCGTATATTTATGTGTTATAATTTATTAGTTGATTTCTTTTATATTCTATTTCTAAGAATCACATATTCTATGTGTTGTAATTTACTCGTTGTTTTCTTTCTTGTTCTCTTCTCTTCCAAGAATCACGTATTTTATTTGATTGTAGAATCAGTGTTTCTTTATCAACACCATCTTTGATACTTTGTAGTATTTTATCAACAACAGTAGAAAAATTTGGTTGTAGTTTATCATCACGAAATCTTAAAAATTGCCATGATGATGAAGAGGGATTACAAACCACTTCAACTAATCTTTCATTAAGTTTCTCATTATTATCAATCCACCTTTTAGGAAAAAAGGAAAAAAACAGTTTATATTAATTCATTAAATAATTATTAATATAATATCATTCAAAAGGTTTGAAAAATGCTTACATTTTCCATTGTTCATAAGTTACACTCATATCATTAAAATATTCATATCCATTATTTCCTCGTTGAAATAGACAAAATCTGGGCATTTCTTTATTTTGATCATGTTCAACTTTTAAAAGAAAATCGATAGAATTTTCATTTGGTGGTTTCCATTTTAAGCTTTATTTAATAAAATTAATTAATGATTGCAAAATTATTATATTATATATATATATTATAAATTAATTTATACATTACATTTTTTCATTAGTTCCCATTTTATAACTTGACTCTGCAGATGTGAAAATTAATCCATCACTCTTATGTTTTAATTTTAAAGTTGTTTCTTTAATAACTTTCTCTAAACCATAGGATTTCTCCATCTCTTTAAAAGCGAACCTTTTCATATAAACATGCATAATATATATATAATCATTATTATTAGTGAAGTGAAAAAAATTAAAAGAAAGATATGTTGTGTATGTACTTGAATGGTTGATTATTTGCAAACTGTGGATTATTTCTTAGTATTAATTTATTATAATCTTTTATAAGAAGGAATAAACGCTAGTTACCATATGTGAAATTATAATGTGGTTAGAAAATTTATTTTATTATTTAAGTAGTCAATTATTAAAATAAAAAAAACTTACACCTAATCTTTTATCAAGAAGTTTTTCCGTTATATTTAATCCTTTATCAATTAACATGTCAAAGGCGAGAAGTATCAGTGTATACTGTATATATTAAATTAAATTAAATTATTAATCAAGTTAAATTAAATATAAATTATAAATATAAATTATAAATATAAGTTATAAATATAAATTATATAAATTATATATAATTATAAATATGTATAAATATATAAATATGAATATTGTGGAAAACTTTGCTTACAGATCCATCAGGTTCAACATCATAAACTAGTTCACCATCAACTAAACTATCCCAATTGTGGGTATTAGGATCAACATTCGTATTTGGAATGGGGAACTTTACACCTGGTAGATGAAAATAATGATTCTTTCGATCAATCTATATATATATATATAAAATAAATATATTTTTCACATGAGTCAGAAGAGATATCTTTTCTATTAAAAAAAAATATATAACAGAACATGATAATAATAAATAGTAATAATAAATACCAAATATACATCTTGATCACCATTTTTATCCATTCTTATATATAAAAGTACACGTGCTCCATCAGATTTTTCACATACATAATAACTATATACAAATTATTCTTAAATATATTAGTAAATATATTCATAGAGATCAAATCAAATCAAACAACAACAATAACAATTACTCTTCTTTTTCAAGTTCAATTAAGTGTTGTAGTGTGAAACTGACGGGTTGAGATCCTGTAAAATCAAAAAATTATTGTTTTCACTAATATCATTCATTAATTATTAACTATTATTAAAATCTTTATCATTTATTATACCAGGAAAATTCCTAAATGTGTATATATATAAAATTCATTATTACAAAAATATCAATAAAGAACCAACTGATCATGTAATATAGGCCAACTTACACAGCTGCACCAAGTATTGAATTTATCCTTTTTTTCAATATTTCAGCCCGAGAAAAATCGATTCGATTTCCCGGTATAACAGGAAATGGTACTGAATTGAAGTTTTGTAACGTGCTAAACCTTCCTGCCATTATAATCAATGGCTTGTGGGGTAATAAAATGAATATTTTATTATTTTGTCATTGCAAACACTAGAACTGAAAAAAATATTTTACCTTTTAAAATAAGGGTTAATATTATATACGGAAAGGGTTCTTTTTATGAAATATACGGAACCCTCCTGTTATTATTATTATTATTTCCCTTTTTAGAATCCGGATAGGACCCCCACAAACTATATTAATATTAATATAGTAAGTGATAGTAATAGGCACGTTACTGCTGCAGCTAGGTCAATCTTATTACGGTGCAGATCATCTATAATCATTAATTGCTTATAATAACAATTGGTCAACTTCAAAATACTAAAACAAAAAAAAATTATATCATTTTAAAAAATTTAACCGATAAGTTTTAT